TTGGCTATGGGAACAACTATGAGGGGATTGCATACTCTTGATTGTTAATATCCTACTCTCGTTGAGCTTGACACGAACAATTGAGAATGTCTAACAATTTTGATTACTCACTATATGTATAACACTATATATGTCATTAAAATAATTACTATACAATCTCTAAATATTGATAATTTTTTATACTTAATTATTTTTGTTCGTTAAAACATAACTTTCATCTACTTTTAATATTATAAATTATAGCTTCAACTTGACTTTAAAAACTTGTAAAAATTCATATATAATAACTTCTTTTATGAATAAATATCTCTATTTCTTACAAAACAGAAATATCAAAAACTTGAACGAAGGTAATATAAAAGTTCGGTCTTTCATTGTAAAAGTATATGTTTTGTCCTATCATATCATTAAAAAAATTGTTGAAAAGATGTTAGGCATAAACCAATGATCTAATTGGACAAGTTATAAAAGCAAAATACATCTTGTTGTTGCTTGGGAAGCACACAGCAGCCACAATAACTTCATAGTTTTCTGAGTAGACGATCAGAATCAATGTGCGCGTGTATGCGTGTGCGTGTATGTGTTACTTTTTTTAAAATAAAAATATCCCACAACCGTTAAAGCAGTTGGAATCTATTTCGAGAAAAGTCATGTGACAGACTAATTAACAGATATAAAAGATTTATTCAAATCATGTTAAATTTTAAATGAAAATATAAATATTTCAATAAAATAAATAATGTGATAACATCTAATGTGATAACATCTAAACTAAATTTTACCTGCATGATTATGAATCAAGAAGAATGAGAAATAATTGATGATACGCACCCAAAAACAGACCAAACCATCAAATGACAGTATTAAAAAATCATAATTAACATCTAAATTCAAACAAGTATAGCGTGCACGGTTGAACCACCATCGAAAGGGGACCGTCTAACGGCGTCATCATAATGGCGCGAACTAAAGGACCTAGAAGAAAAGAATAAAAGCATAAAACAAACAAGGGCGCCATTTCTCTCGAACGTATCGCCAGCCCTAACCGGCCGTTTGACGGTAAACCCTAGTGTTGACTTAACAAGGTCTTACGTTACGTGCCCAAGTATCAAGGCTATCTCGCCACGTAGGCGGCTTTGATTTTGAGTTCAGTCACGTGTTTGGGTCCCTGCCTCGACGCTTCACACGCCGAGTTCATTGGTTATCTTAATTGTACAACTATGCCCTTGAATTCACTCAATTTTTTTAAGAAAGGTTTACACTTTACAACGAAGACAGAGAAAATGCTAAAAAATTAGAGAAAATTTTAATAATAGAAAAGTGTTTTATAATTTAAATTAATTATTAAATAATAATAAAAAATTTCTTAAACAATAAAAATAAAATTTTTTATTTAATGATTAATATTTTATTGTTTAAATTATTAAGTTTCAAACTCTTTTAATTTATAATAACAATTGTTTTTTTTTGTACGACCATCCGGTATCCAGAAACTCATTGGGTCACTGATTAATCCGGATTCGAACCGAACGAAACCTAATGGGCGGCAAAGTTCTCCCTCATGAGTTTTAACGGAGCTGTATTTCCAAGAGTTGAACTCAAGACTTCTGATTAAACTGAAAGAGTCCCAACTAACTCATCCACCCGCTTATGGGTATAATAACAATTGTTAAAATTGAGATATTTGAGTTCACATCCTCTCTAATGACTCTCACGCAACGGCTATATCTCAATTTTGTATTATCTCAATCATAAACAGAATAATTTTAAGAATTCATTATAACCAGAACAATTTTAAAAATCATAAAACTTATGATGTAACAAAAAAAACATGAGATTGATTTGAAAATTTTGTGATGTAACATAAAAAACCTATGATCTAGTACTAAAATCCTTTTATACGATAGCTTCTTATTTTCTAGAAGAACTATTAATGTGATATCTTTCGTTACACAGAATTTTTTTTAAATAATTTACTTAGTAATTTTTTTTAAGTTTATTTTTTAATAAATAATTTTAAACAAGTTCATACATTTTAAATCATCAAAATTTACATAAACAAAAATACAAGGGAGAGTTTAATAGAAAAGAGTTCAACTAAATTTTTTTAAAAGATTAAAGTTAATTACTTAAAATTTAAAAATTTATCTTATAAAAGAATAATATTTTAATAAAAAATATTGTAACCCAATCAGTTTCGATTATGGAGACACAACAGAATTCAAAGATACCAAGTGAGACAATAAAGTGAGAAAGACAATTTGCCGGGAAAGAGAAAGGGAGTTAAGAGTTCAAAGGGGTGAACCCAAATAATATAAATGATTCAGGTCATCAGAATTCGTTTTCTTTCCTATTTTTCTCTCACTTCTAAAAGTGTGACCCGGGTTTCTCTTTCTTGGCCGGGAATCAGATCTCCGGCATTGACTCACTTCTCCGCTAACTCTCAGGTGTTACTGTGTTTCTTCATTTCTTTTACTAATTTTTATCTTTGTTTTATTATATTTTATTTGATTTTTCTGCCTATACCAGTCTAGCAACAGAAGAGAATAAAGTGGCATTTTATAGGGAGATTTCAGGGAGAGTCTGTTGGGATTTTCCTTTCTTCCTATGAAAACCTAATTTCATAAGAAAATGGAAATTGAAGAAATTTTGTATCCTCTGATTCTCTGAATTTCTATTCTCCTTGTGCTATTCTGTCTCACATATTTTTCATGAAATGGCAGGCTTGAAACTACAGCAGAGATCTATCGGTTTAATGAGCTGTAATTGGAGCATTTTTTAGGGAATTGGGAGAAATCTGGGTTTTGTCGACACTGTTTGACCTCAAACTGGGTACTCTAGCTCTGTTTCTTTCCTGCCTTTATTTTCCCCCTTTTTAAAAAATATACTGTTTGGATGCTAATTCTCTATTCATTTCTCAGGCAGGGCAGACTCCATGAAAATGAGGTTAGCAGTTGAGGGTTTCCTTGGTAAAATGCAATTCAGGGCAAGATTGGGTTTTTAATCAAGAATGCACTTTACTAAGAAGTCTGGGAGAAAGTTTTTACCTGGAAGTATCAAGGAGGATTCTGCAAACAAGCAATAGACATGAGCAGGCAAGGGGAAGAAGAGTTCCAATTTCAGCACACATGGGTTCCGGCTACCCCGTTCAGGCCCATTTTCCTCGAACCGCCACAGATCTATGCTGAAAAAGAAGTGAACCAGACAAACCATGCAAATTGGTTAGGAACAGAGAGATGCTCTCCTGGTTTTGCTGGGGAGCCTCAAGCTAATCTACTGTCTGCATGTCTTAGTTCTGCAGATTGTGCAGGGGTTAATAACTTACAGGCAGCGTTGGCTGGGAGAGGCGGCATTTCCAATGGTAGCATGGCATGCAGACAGTTTCCAATTGACCCGACTGCTGAGTTTAGCAATGTTTCTTTCGGAGATCTCTTGGCCCTGGCAAATGCAGCATCTAAAACATGTTCAAGGGCATCACCTCAGAGGAATGACAGCATGACAACCGGTTCTACCATCTCCACACTGGATTCTCAGAGTGACAGTAACCAAGTGGAGCCTGGCTCTGGGGGTCCTTGGCTCACTGAAGAAGATTTCTCAAACATTCAGACTGATCCCAACTGCACTCCAAGAAAACATCAAAGTAAGATCAGTGTTGTAAAATTAGTGTTCTCTCTGCTTTTGGCCCCTCTTCAGAGTTCATTTCCAGTAAAGGCGGCTATTTTTCACTCATAAACAGTCATTGCAACACTTGAATTATCATTGCCCATTCTATAAAAGAATTAAGAAATAGAATAGAGAAAGCTGATATAAGGCCATATCGGCTTGTAAGAGCAAAATTTACATGTATATATCCTGTCAAATTTAAAAGAAAATATTAGCATTAGACATTAGTAATTCAACATGGTGAGCAAATGGTACAGAACTGCATTCCAGAAAGCCTAGTAATTTGCCTTTAGCAACCAAGTCTAGTTTCATGGAAAGGCATGCTAGACCAGCAAACTAATTTTAGCAGTAACTTTCTTATGTAACATTTATGTTAAATATTTATAGGTTTCATGATCTAATTTGATTACTGAAATGAACCTTGATATGTGCACCTACAGATGAAAGCATTCCTCAGCAATCCTATATTCTTAATTTGCTTCCTGGGACAATGGCAAATGCACACTTGCACAAAAGCATCTCTGAGTTTGCACCATTAACACCAGATAAGGCCATAAGGGTGGGAAGGAAAGAGGCCCCAGAAATGGAAAGTTTACAGCCAGATGACAGAACAAGCCCAGAGAGAGGGAAGCATGGGAATAAACCTACTGCCACAATACTTGACTCCAACAGCCTTCAATTTGGTATAGACCTCCAAGATCCTGCTACAGGTTCATCAATGGTTCTGGCTCCAACTGAGGAGAACCAAAATCCTGACAAGGGAGGTAGCCAAGTAATTGAAATAAGTGAAACACCACAGCAAAAACCAAGGAGGAAAAAGCACAGGCCCAAGGTAATTACAGAGGGCAAACCCAGGACTCGAAAGCCACGGACACCAAAGAGCAATGGTTCTCAAGAAAATCCAACAGCTAAGAGGAAGTATGTGCGTAGGAAGGGAGTCAACAAAGACTCAAATACTCCCCCAGCAGAAGCAAGTGGAGAGAGCACAACACGTAAGAGGAAGTATGTACGTAGGAAAGGAGTCAACAAAGACTCAAATACTCCCCCAGCAGAAGCAAGTGGAGAGAGCATGACAGGTAAGAGGAAGTATGTGCGAAGGAAGGTCCCTAATAAAGACTCAACAACTCCCACCACACAAGAAAGTGGAGGGTCTGCTACTGCCCCTGAAACACTTGAATCTAAGAAAAAGTCATGCAGAAGGGCCTTAAATTTTGATGTGGAAGGACAGCAGGAAGTTGAACTTTCTACATGCAAGTCAGCTTACAATAATTCGGGGTCAGGCACACAAAGCCTTTGGACTTCAGGAGGTCCAGCAAAATCAGCACTGCATCTTGGTGAAGGAGTTGAAGTGACAGTAGAAAATGAACAAGCAGTGAGCATTGCTGATGACAGAACCTGTTCTCAGAATCAAATTCCAAAAAATTACACACCCTTGTCTGAAGGACAAGCACCAAGCACACCGCTTCCTGCCAAGAATAAACCTCCACGGGGTAGACGGAAAGCCAATTCTCAAAAGCAGAATAATGTAGAAGGAAAAGATCATGCAACCACCCATGATGGACCCAAGCATAATGCACAAATCATGTTACAAACAGGCATTCGATTGTCACAGAAAATCCCAAGTAGCTGCAATTGTGGCATGTGCTTTATGTTGGAGGAAGGACAAGCAAGGGAGTTGAAGACAAATAATTACAATTGTACTGAACAACCAAACACTGGTAACACAAATGCACATGGCAGTCACTACAACAGTTTATGCAGATATAGGGCAATGTCATGTATGCATTTTCCAAATATTCGCAAGAGAAAAAGAAGAGATAAAGGGCAAAATTCTTCCATCTCAGGTGTATCATCGCTGAGTGAAGTTCCAGCAACACCTGGAGAAGCAGTAAGAGAAGATCATCAGAATATACAAGCGGCTTTTGGCAGCATCATGGCTTTAAATCAGAATGTGAGGCTGAAAAAGAAGAGATCAAAAGCCTCCACTCAGGTTCAGGACTTTGCTTTACTGAGTAGCATTGCAGAGTGCACAGATCACCTGACTTGCAACAGAGAAGCAGCTGGGAACTGTGGCAGGAAAGAAGTTGGAGACAGACCTCATAAAAGTATGGAAGCTCTAGTTGCAGAAATGCAATCCACACTGGCAAGAAAGAAGCGAACTAAGAAGAGAAACTCCCTTGTAAATGCAGCATCCTCCAGCATAAGTGAAGTACAAACACCCCAAAAAATTGTCTTATACAATCACAAACAATTGTTTTCAGGTAATGCAACAAAGTATCAGTGAAATCTGACCCGCTATTGTTTACATATTTAAATCAAAATATGCAATATGACAAACTATTCTTCTTAACTTATACAAGCAATTCAATGCAGGTGCTCCTACAGAAGCACTATGGAAAGAGATGTCTATTAATGCAATTAGTGAGCAGTTCAACCAGCTCAGTATTAACAGAGAAGGTAGCTATAATGCATATCAACAGCAGAACGCAATTGTCCCTTACAATATGAAATATCAGGGGCAGAATGCACTTGTTCTTTATACAAGAGATGGCACTGTTGTACCCTATGCCGTGAAGAAACGACGGCCACGACCTAAGGTTGATCTAGACGAAGAAACCAATAGGGTATGGAAGCTTTTATTGGGAAATATCAATAGTGAAGGTATTGATGGAACTGATGAAGAAAAGGCAAGATGGTGGGAGGAAGAAAGGAAAGTATTCCGTGGACGAGCAGAGTCATTTATAGCACGCATGCATCTTGTACAAGGTATCAATTCCATTTTCCAAATTTACGTTTATATCTGTCTGCATGTCTAAATGGCATGGATTATACTGGTGAATGAAACATCTCAAAATGTGGTATGATCTTCAGAGAAGATTAATCCACTAAAATAATAATAGTCATAATCATAATAATCTCCTTTCTGCTCTGTAAACTTACTGCACATTGAAGAAGTGGAATTTTTTCTCTTGGAGACTAGTGGCTGGCCAAAGAAACTCTAGTAAAAGAATGAATGAAACTTCTGTCAATCAATTCAGTAAATCCACTTTCCTCAAAGAAACTCATTGATTCTACCCTAAATATAACCTAAGCATTCTAGAGAAATATGCTACATTACATGTTAGGAAGCATTTTCTTTATTCATTCAAATGAATTCAGTCATTCTCGTGGTAATACACTTTAATTGGCACAGGGGATAGACGGTTCTCTCAATGGAAGGGATCAGTTGTTGACTCTGTAATTGGAGTCTTTCTTACTCAGAATGTCTCTGACCATCTTTCCAGGTGAAGTAAAGATCTTAAGATAATTTAAACAGAGAAAAGTTAAGCAGGAGGCTTATAATCTGTCTATTGTTTTGCAGTTCAGCATTCATGTCTCTCGCTGCACATTTCCCGCTAAAACCAAAGATCAGTGAGCAACCATGTACCGAAGAGGGCACAAGCTTAATAATTGATAGACCAGAATTCTATGTCTTGGATCCTGAAGAGACTGCTGAATGGAATGAGAAGCCAATTCATCCAGTACATGACCAGAGTTCTGTGACTTTCCATGACTCCAGGCAGTTTGAAGACAAAGAGGCTGTCAACAGCAATGACTTGTCTGGAAGCAGTACTGGTATCACAAGCTCAATAAATGAATCAAAGCATGAGATGCTGAATTATTCTCCTAGGGATTCAGAAACATGCTATGACTCTGCGGCAAATGGATCAGAAATGCAGATAATTGGGGGAGAAAATGAATGTTTTCAATATGATGAAGCAACAAATGATGCCCTCTCGTCTCAGAATTCTGTGGTTCCCTCTCAAAACTCTCAGGATTCTTCGATTGCTCAGACAACTGAAAGAACAGGGTCAAGCTCAGAAAGCAACTCAGAAGCTGGGAATCATATCAAGGAAGCTAAGTTAAACATGTTGAATAACTCTTGTTCTTTTGTAAAACTTTTAGAGATGGCAGGATCAACCAAGCTACATGAAGTTTATGTTCCTGCAAACCACAGTATGTCATTCAACGAGAACTTGTCTCAAGGAAATCAATGTCAGAACAACCAAAGACAAGGCATGGATAATTTAGGGGATCCTACAACCTTCATGGGAGAATCCATTATTCCATCAGCGAATTCTCATCCACATCTTAGTCTCAACTCCGAAGTAGTGGCAGTTGAGCACTCTGAGATGTTCAAGGAAGAAGCAAGATCTTCTGAAATGTCAAAGACCACAGATGAGAACAGCATGAAGGAACGAAGTCTGTTAGCCAACAATTCTGCATATCAAATGACAGATAAAAGTGATGCAGTTACGAACATTCAATGGGTACTAAAATCCTCTGGTGAATATAATCATTCAAGCAACAACAGTCGAAGAGATAAGAATACAGTTACTCAGTGTCAAGTTGAGCAGCATGGAGAATGTGGAAATTCAGTTGAATCATCAGCTCAAGTACCAAAAAGAGAAATGCTGAGGCATGTGAATCAGCAAAACCACTCAGGAGAGATCATAGATGTTACAGAAAGTACCACCATATTTGTCAACCAGAGAAATACCAAGCAGAAAACAGAAGAATCAAACATGTTTGAGCATGGCCATTCATTTAATAAGGAGCACAATGAGATGGAAACTGCTACTTCAAAATCAAAAGGTAGAAAAACTGTAAAGGATAAGAAAGAGAATTATGACTGGGATAGCTTAAGAAAACAGGCGGAAGCCAATGGGAAAAAAAGAGAGAGAACAGAGAAGACAATGGACTCACTGGACTATGAAGCAGTGAGATGTGCAGATGTTCAAGAGATTGCCGACACCATTAAGGAACGAGGGATGAATAACATGCTTGCAGAGCGAATAAAGGTACAAGCCTAGCATACTGTAACAATTCAACTAGAATTACTAGGGCTTTCCTATTGGCTGATTTTGTTTGAGAGTTTCATGCAGGATTTCCTTAACCGCCTAGTTAGAGAACATGGAAGCATTGATCTGGAGTGGCTAAGGGATGTTCCACCTGACAAAGCAAAGTAAGCCAAAGAATTCCTAAAATATAGACTTACATTCTTAAGAACACTTTTGGAATGCATTCACGTACATATTGACAAGATGCACAGAGTGTCATTTTTCTAATTCTCCATATAAATTACAAACCTGAGAACTTAATTTTAATCAATCTTGCAGAGAGTATCTGCTAAGTATAAGAGGACTGGGGCTAAAAAGTGTGGAGTGTGTGCGGCTTTTGACACTTCACCATCTTGCTTTTCCAGTAAGTTGATATTATTTGCAGAATATTTGTAAAAACGCAAAACAAAACTCAGTTTCCATACTTGCATGGTAGGTTGACACAAATGTTGGACGGATAGCTGTTCGATTGGGATGGGTCCCCCTTCAGCCACTACCAGAATCACTTCAGTTGCATCTCCTAGAACTGTTAGTATTATGCAGCAATCAATCCTACATCCTCAAACTATTTGTTTATTGCAGGAGAAGTGCTAATTTTGTTTTACCTATATAGGTACCCAATCCTGGAATCCATTCAAAAGTATCTTTGGCCCCGATTGTGCAAGCTCGACCAAAGAACATTGTAATAACTCAATTTACTTCAATACCCTGACAAAGAAATGCATTTGTTTCACATGCAATCAGCAACAAACACATTTATTCCTAGATCTAGGTGATTGCTAATTTATTGCAATATCTACTTAACAGGTATGAGTTGCATTACCAGATGATCACTTTTGGAAAGGTGTGCTGTATATATATTAAAAGTTAAAAAGCTTCTCTTTTTGACTGGTGAGCTTGATAAAGATAATAACCATTCTTTGATCTTTATGCAGGTGTTCTGTACAAAGAGCAAACCAAATTGTAATGCATGTCCAATGAGAGGAGAATGTAGACATTTTGCAAGTGCTTTTGCAAGGTTTGCTCATCTTATATTCTAATTCTCAACCCTACATTCACTTCCCTTTATACTTAGACAAATCTTTTATGCTTTGGCCACTGCATGGAGACCTAGAAATTTGACTATATTTCAAGCGGAAAATCTAGAGCCCAGATGAACAAAAAAGGCATTTCAATTGGCTAGCCAATCACCAATCCACAAGCATTTTTTTTGTTGATACGTATAAGGGAACACCAAATACCCATGTTCTAACCCACATAGAACAATCATTTGTTTGTACTGTAAAGAGTTTTTTGCATTCACTTATTCCTAAGTCATCTTCAAGCAGTGCAAGGCTTGCCCTTCCAGGGCCAGAAGAGAAAAGCATTGTCACTGCAAATGAAAATACAGCACATGGTCAAAATCCTGCTGTGACCGTTGATCAACTGCCTCTGCCCTTACCCCAGCCAACAGAACAACCAGAAGGAAACCAACAGCCTGAGACAAACATCCATTCAGAAGCAAAATATGGACTCAAGAAATGTGAGCCTATAATTGAGGAACCAGCATCACCAGAACCAGTGTGCACACAAGTATCAGAAAATGACATTGAGGATATTGAGGATTCATTCTGTGACGATCCTGACGAAATTCCAACAATCAAGCTTAACATGGAGGAGTTCACTCAGACTTTACAAAACTATATGCAAAACAATATGGAACTTCAAGAAGGTGATATGTCAAAGGCTTTAGTTGCTTTAACAGCAGAAGCTGCATCTATCCCCATGCCCAAGCTTAAGAATGTCAGTCGGCTACGGACAGAGCATCAAGTGTAAGTAGTCACTTCATAATCTCAGAACCCTCAATGATTAGAAACTAGTCCCAACCATTTCATGAAAGAGTATGTTATTACTGGTTGTAGATAGACAAACACTCAAAGATTTAGATATATAGAATTTTACTCTCCTACCCTAGGATTAAAATTTTAACCGCCTAGAACCATGAAGTGTGAAATAATGACGTAGAACCTTATAGAACTTTTAGAATTCCGTTAGTTTAATATTCCCAAGAAGAATAACGTATAAAGATGGTAAACAAAATTAGAAGAAACCTGCCAGTGGATACATTAGATGTGATGTAGAGATGGTTTCCTTTGAAATAAGCAAGATATGCAACACCATGAAGTATCTCATATCCTTTTAACATGGACTGACTGTCTCTTCTCTCATACCCCTTGCAGCTATGAACTTCCAGATTCACACCCTCTTCTGGAAGGGGTTAGTTGTTCTTTCTTTGCAGAACATTCATCATTATTTGTTTCAATTCTCTTTCTTTTAATTGCTTCTAGTTATATCACAGTTGGATAAACGAGAACCCGATGATCCATGCAAGTACCTTCTTTCAATATGGACACCAGGTAAGCAGATAACATAACCAACTTTTCTAAATAATAAGATAAACTTCTATAGTTTTGAGTCATATAAGTTTATTGCTCCTCTGGATTGCCCCTTTGCTGATTGATTCAATGGAACCACACCAGGTGAAACAGCAAATTCTATTCAACCACCTGAAAGAAAGTGCAGCTCCCAAGAGCATGGCAACTTATGTGACGATAAGACATGTTTCTCATGCAACAGTATACGTGAAGCAAATTCACACATTGTTCGAGGAACACTTCTGGTAAGAAAATGAATTTGACAAGTATTATGACATGAATATTCTAAACTGAGCCAGACAGTACTTGTGCATGTTAAATGCTAAGTTGCTAACCAATGCTTGCAACACATGATAAACAGATACCATGTCGAACAGCAATGAGAGGGAGTTTTCCTTTAAATGGAACATACTTCCAGGTTAACGAGGTAACTTCAACTCCAGCATTAGTTCCTATGATTTTCCTGCAATTTAAAACATTCTTTACACTTTTGAGTCCCAGTAAATCTGGTCACATACTCACATGCAATTCCCCTTCAGGTATTTGCTGACCATGAATCCAGTCTGAGGCCAATTGACGTCCCTAGAGAATGGTTATGGAATCTCCCAAGGAGAACTGTGTACTTCGGGACCTCCATACCCTCAATATTTAAAGGTAAACCTTGCAGCAGTAGCTTTTTCTGCTAAATGGAATGAGGTCAATTACTAATGGTTTTTGTGCTTTGATCTGTTAGGTTTAACAACAGAAGGGATTCAACACTGTTTCTGGAGAGGTACGTGGGAATTACAGATTCTTGCAATTTTATCTAATCCTATCTGTTATCCACTTTTATTGTAATTATAACCCTCTGGTACAACTTGTTAACGAACCCAAAACCTTGTGATCTAGAGATATATAAGCCCACACCTACACATCAAATGCTTCAATCTCATAATACTAAGAGCAGAAAGACTCTTAGAAACCATCTTCCCAACATCTATAGGCTGTTTTTGTAAATTACACCAAAGAATGAAAATTATATCACACATAAAACCAGCATATTTTTCCTCTTAAGTGTCCAATTGTCAGAACCTCAATCCCTCTCCCAGTTCCAATTATCTTGTCATTTTAAGTTTCTTCATAAGCATCAGAGTCACCATCCCTAGAAATTTATAGCAGCATCTTAATGTTAGGACTCACACACGCATCTAGGAAGATCCTTTCAATAGCATGTACATGCAGGAAGCAAACATTTAAACACTAAATATAGAAAAGCACACTCATTGCTTAAAAAATTTAAGTGCATTATGATTCCAATGTCTTCGTATAAATATTTGAAAGTTCTCTGTTGGCTTAGGGTTTTTTCTTTTTCTTTTTCTTTCCTGAAAACAAATTGCAGGTTTTGTTTGTGTGCGGGGATTTGACCAGAAAACAAGAGCACCACGTCCTCTGATTGCCAGATTGCATTTTCCAGCAAGCAAGTTGAACAAGGCAAAGGGTAAGGCTGCTGCGAATGATGAATAGACTTAGATGATGCTGTGGTCCGAAGGACAGAGACTGATCAAGAACGACCAAATAATCATGAATGAAGAGGCAGCAGCACTGCATTCTTGAAGTGCAACTTCATTCATGAGGGACAGCGAGGAAAATTTCAAGTTGTATAACCCAATCATGAAGAGGGATGTAACTAGTACATGGAATGTACGTGGTTCATTAACCAAGGTTTCCTTAATCCAATGCTCAAATTCGAGCAATTTTTCAATTTTCATAGTGTGTTGGATAACGAACATCGTTTTTACTATTGCAGATTCTCTCAAGCACACAAATATAGGTACATTACAAACACATAAGCTATTTTATGCATATTAAATCTTCTATAAACATCTAAAAAACTAAAAATATAAAGCAATTGAAATCGAGAATATATCGAAAGAGTACTTATTGTAGCTTACCGCTCTGCGTTATCTCCAAGCATTTCCCCCTAGATACAGTTATGCGGAGTTGCGAGTTGTGGCAGATGCGAACACCGCAACGGAGATCTTAATCTGATTCGCCTCAGAACCAACTTTGCTATGATCTGCAAGCAATTCAGCAGTTTAGGTGAAACCATCAGGCATCAACCAATCTTTATGCAACCAAAAGCAGGCATCAAAATTTACAGATCCAGAAAACCAGAATAAATTGCTATTATTCATAACTTAAAACCAAAAACAAACATAAAAATCATCAAGATCCATGAAACTATTACTCATAACTCAAAATTTTAAAAAGCTACAAAAAAAAATTTGTTCTCCTGCTAAAAATTTGGCTAAATAGGCAAAAATCCATAGCTGATCTGAATTTATATCCAAATTTTCCAAACAAAACTTACCATTTAATAAATTTTCTCAAACGAAAAATAGAAGGCATCAATGCTTTGATCTCTGCTATCATTCGCATCCACAGAATCAATCGAATCTGAAAAGATAAATACTGTTCAAATCATAAAATCACCTATGGATCTTGAAAATATAAGATGGTAGTACGAATCGAAGCGAGGTTTCATGTAGAGATGCTAACCTTTCGTCTTCTGCAATGGAGGCGGTGTGAAGTGAGAGCTGTTGTTTGAAAGGAATGGATGAAGTTGGAGTTTCTGGAAAAGGGTAGAGAGGTTTGGACATGGAGATTTTTGCCTCTTTTGCCGCCTTACCGCCATTTTTTCTTTATGTTTCATCCGCTTTCCCTCCAAAACTGATCTACGAAGATCTTTCTATTTTCTCTCTCCAGTACGTGCGCCATGGCTCATGGGCTCTTGGTGGACCTATTGGGCTACCATTAAAGATTCATTGGCCCGCGGTCCAAAAAAATGGCTGCATACAAAATAGACTTTTTTTTTGAAAAAAAAATAAAAGAAAAAACAGGAGCTGTCCTCTATGTAATGAAATGTGTTTTGCGGTTTAAACTACGACATAATTGAAAAAAATCATGCTAATATTGGGTTAGATTTATTGTTTTTTCTATTGATTATTAACTTGTTATTACTTTGCTTTAAAAAGTATATTTTTCAAAAATTTTAAAAAGTGTATTAAAATTATTTATTCAACAAAAATTCAACATTTGTCTAACGGAATTCAACATCATATTTACATGAGCACCACATAAACACTACTTAAATCATTGTAATATAATATAATATAAAATATAATATAATTCGCTACTTAAATCATAATTAAATTTAAATAGCATGATATTTTTAATATTAAAATATCTTAATTTTTATTTTTTTATATTGAAAGAAATGAAAAAATATTATTTATTTTATACCTTTATTTACATAAAAATATTCAGCACAGATGGAAGATTAAATTATTAATATATTTTGAATACGATATTTAAAATATAAATAACAAATAAAAAATTTAAAATAACCTGACCTGAATAAATTCTTAAACTGTTTGGTTTAATGGACTTAAAAGTATCACTCCAGCGTCGATTCTTTCTTTAAAAAAAAATATATAATAATGACAAAATTTATGTTTACAGAATCTTTCCTCCTCAACTCCAGAAACGGGATTGGAAACCAAACTCAGAAAGAGAACAACATGACCAAGACGTGTTGAGCCTTCACGTCTCTTTGAAGCAAGAAACAGCACAGGAAGAGAAATCCGGTAGTAGCCGCACGCTCACGCAAGCCTACAGACAGCCAGCCGCAGGTTTCATACAAAACCACGTTAAACCTATTTTTAATCAGTACTTTTGTCACTAGTAATACAGGGATGATCATTATTAAAAATTAGTATATATATGGTAAGATTCATTGAACGTAACCTGTTCGGTGTTTTTTTCTTATTATTATTTTAAAAGTTTTCCAGTCACGTTCAAGGATTATAATTTAAAAATAAGCAGCTTTACGCATGGCATGACTTCTCTTTTTTTGAAAATAATAATAACAATTAAGTAAAATTATATCTCCCAGTTTTCTTTAATCATTCGTCCATCAATTGCAAAATAGTTTAATGAAGTACTAATACAGTAAGACATTAAAAAAGAAAAAAGAAAAAAACTACAATATATAAGTTCCCCAATGTAGAAAGTATTGCTTCCAATGCATTGACGAACTTTTAATTGCTTATGTTATACTGGTGATCTGAAATTATGGAAAGTTTTAATTGTTTATTACTCTAAATTAACAAATTTATTATTTTTGAAAAAGATGTGACAATGAAAATGAAATAGAAAATGACAGTTAATTTAAGAAAAATAGTAATAATAATTTGAGAGACTACAACGAATGGAGGAAGAATAATGGGGTAGATCGGCCATATAGTTGTCTGTGACAATTAAGTTTAGTGATGATGACTGAGCATATATAGGTGCATGCATGATCGATGCTGCTTTTTTCAGGTCTGATGGATGTTGGCATTGCAATCCCAGAATTCAAGCCGCGTCATTTTACTTTTAATTAATTACGTGTTGATTCGGCAACTATCTATTTCATCTTCAACTTATCAATTCATTGTGCCTGAGAAAGACAAGACTGTATCCACAGTCCAAACTGGGAAACACACACCCCCCCCCCCCCCCCCCCC